CTATCATATCTACATTTAAAACTGTGTATGGAGTCAGCCTCCACCACATCACTGTCTAATACATTCCATTTGTTAACTACTCTAGCAGGGTGTAGTATACCAGTATACTAGTATATAGTATATCAATATACTCCCTATTCCTACGTGTCTGCCAGACGGGTCCTCCTTAGCAACAACCCCCCCCCCAATCCAACCCTCGGATACTTGTGCCGGCCACAGCAGACCGGAAGTCATAATTTACGTTAATATTTCTGCACGTGGTTTTGCTCTCTGCCACCTGGGCAGACGCCGCCCCTCCACACGTAGTACGCAAGGTTATAAGTCATCTCCTATTGCCAAAATTGATCTTAGGCTTGTACAGAGGCGTTTACGCATAATCTCTGATGTGTGCGTAAGTGTTTATACTCCCTTGCGGATGTGTTGATAGGTGTTTAGTCTCCATCTTGGCCATTGATAGGAGTTTAAGGATGGTCTCTGTAGTGTGGATAGGAGTTTAAGCATTGATATTTGGTAGTCTTGAAACATTACCCTGTAAAAGTGTACACGTATAAATATATAAGTATATTAGCCCATAAGTAGCCCGTATATACATTTTTTATGCTGATATGAACATCCTAAATAAACCTTCAATCCTCTAACTCAGATTCTTGTGGATTATATGTTACTAATAAATACCGAATAAAGCAATCAATGATCTTATGAAATAAAAAAATACCATTTAATATAAATTAGATCCATTTAATTTAAATTATTGTAGGTATAAAAACGAACCCCCTACAACCTCACCATCAAACCGATGGTATATTAGTACTTAGAAGCAATGCAGTGGAATCAAACTCTCGTCTTGATTCATTTTAGCCGGTCGCAATACCCATTATACCACGATAAACTTGGGAAGCAAATAAACTTGTAGTCCACTCGAACTTAAAGTGAGCAAGGAATTATCATTATATTGCTTTTTGCGCTACCGCTCACAGGATGGGCATGGGGTGCACAATAAACTAGCAGCCTCCGGTGGCAACAATTAATTGCGAAGATCTTACATAACTACACAGTAAAAAAAACTATTACTACTTATACATATGCAGAATGTTACATAGTATTTCCAGTTTTTTTGTTGCACACAAACACAAAACGGCTTCCCTTGAGACTGAAATACATCGTAAATCTTTTTTCGGAATTCAACGTAACAGAAATTCGTAATAATGTCTTTACTCGGCGTTAGAATTTGGGGATTCTATTGTCCAGTGTAGCGAATGTTGTTTCAATGTTTTAATTGTCATTGTGAGGACGTTTGTTGAGGAGTTACAGCGATAACGACTGTGTAGCGAGGAATATCGTCCATCTGGCAGCGCAGCTGATGTTTTTATCGCTCCCTTTCTCGTACATTTGTACCTTTGCAACCCAGTGATTTTGTTTTTATTGCATGCAATGATTATCTGTCTGCCAATGACGTAAAGTTCTTCACAATCCTACGATTCGTTTATTCAAATCACGATAAAATCGTCCGGTATCTTTAGAATGTATCGCTGATGAGGTTTGGCTCAGGAAATCGGACACAAAAACAAGAAGCGGAACTCACCCGTCAGACTTGCCGGCTGTTCCTCCGTTTAGGGCGGCAACGCACTCTCCACATCTTCTTGTATCAAATCCTCTAAAGTTTTTAGCTACGATCCACTTAATAACACACACTTTAACACGAGAGTTCACTCATTCAGCTGTTGTTGTCCTTGAGTTAAGGGAGACAACGACCTGATGTATATCAGATACGTCCAATTCACTGTTTGAGTCACAACTGATTGAACAGATCAGCGTCATTTTACCGCTTAAAACACTACTTATCGAACACGTGTATCACATTCACCGTTTCAGACACAAGTGATTGAGCAGCTCAGATGAAGCTCAGTCATTGGCTTACGGTCTGGTGCAGGTCCTAACTACACGAGGGGGCTATTAAGGGCGTGATATTGACCAACAGCAAATATACGCTGGTACTGAACATATTTAGGAACTAAGGTAATCGCCCAGGTTATATATATACCCGTTATAAATAGAGGGACATCTCGGGGAGTTTGTTATATCCCTTGCTAGGTATACCTTCTGGTATTACCACTGCTCTCAGTTCCTGAACCGATTATGTGCCTCTGTAACCCTTTACACCACCGCCCACGGTATGGGGTGCATACTAAAGAAAGAAATTGAATCTATCATGAGCTGCTATGTGTTCTCCATGATTGTCCGTCATCACTCCTCCGGCTACCTTGCACCCATTAGCATCCTTATAACCATGCTGTGATGGGGATTGAATTCCCCTAACCATTAGTCCGATTACACCTTCATTCTACCTAAGGCTTTTCTGATGCGTCTGTTAATACCCCTCACCTGCCAGTTTCAGATTTAGATGTTAATATCAATTACCATTTCCTTCATCTATTTAATGACATTGGGAAGGGGAGGATATCCCAGGAATAAAGAGATTCAACAAGCGTATTAATGTCAATCATAATTATCCAGAGCATCACAATTGAAGATAGCAGGGACCAGGACAGCTTAGAGGGTAGAAATAACCTAAGCTACTCTATCCCTTTGAAATTTATTTTATTGTCTCAATAAACGTACTTGAACTTGATTTAGTAACCTTTTTAAATCTCGAAATATCACTAGACGCTCAAAGCTATATAATGTCGAGTCTTTCTTCTCAGACGCCTTGTAATCTCCTCGGGCGAAATGATTACCGATAAAAAAAGTTTAAACTTGTTTACGAATCTCTCTTAGAATATTAAAGAGTCGCGGAATGGTAATGATCTTTACTCTTCCAGTAATCCTTTCTGACCTGACCTGAACTACTGGGATTAGCCCCCAGCGACCAGAGGTCACTGCTCCGCTGTCTCCATCACAAAGCACAATTACAAAACCCAGCTTATTAAAGTAACTACTAAAAGACGGGGGTAGAAATAGCCCAAGCTTCTCTATCCCTTTGAGATGTATTTATTTCTTGTCTCAATAAATATACTTGAACTTGAACAACTAAAAGCTTCGTTGAGGCTAATTCCGTACTCACCTAAAGATGTATGTGGGCTCGGAACATGAACAATCATCCACCGGAAATACCCCTCTCAGGTACATCCTTAATTACTCAGGAAGAGTCCCACCTGGCTGCCATGACAACCTCTCATCACGCCTCCTACGCTGATTGGTGGAGAGAGCCTCCTCAACCATTGTCACCGCCAGCAAACACATGACCCAAGAATTACCCAAAATATTTAAGAATTACGCAAATAAGGGAGAAATATAACCAAATTTTCTCTCCGTAATTTGGGTAATGAATGTAGAGCGTAAATAAACTTAACTTTACTCTGAAATACGGTCATTTATTGATGAAATATTACCAAAACTGGTGGCGGGTCCCGACTACGGTAATCAACAAGACATTCTGATTGTCGACTTCGTTTGACGAGACCCACCACCTATTTAAGTCTTATTTCGTCACAAAAGGAGTTAATTTCAAAGTACAGTAAAGTTATATTTACATAGGGTGCACATTTACCGCCAACATTAGAGGGAGAAAATGCCAAATTTCGTATTTATTTTAGTAATTCAACGACGTTTTGAACCCTGAACGGGTCGAACCCTGGTACTTACTCAGAACCAGTCACTACTCCCACGGCAAAAGTGAGGATTTAGTAATTATTTGTTCAAGCTTCGTCATTGGAATTTTTATTCCTCGTGCAACACCTGAAGGTCACATTATTTATTTACATCTAAAAGACAAAACAACTGCAATAACAGGGTATTAAAAAAAACATATAGTCAGTCAACATTAATTTATTTACATCAGTGTTTGTTCTTAGTTCATAAACCTTGACTTTACTTTCGCGGTAGAAAACAGTCTGAAAGATCACGTCCTCCTTAGTAACGGCTATATTACAACGATGGTCCATAAATCCTTACATCATCAATATATCGTATATTTTTGTACACACACGCACACAAACTTACATGCAAACACAGTTTAACACACACACACATACATTATATATATATATATATATATATATATATATATATATATATATATATATATATATATATATATTATATATATATATATATATATATATATATGTCCCCATTCTTCCAGCTAGAGGTATATATATATATATATATATATATATATATATATATATATATATATATATATATATATATATATATATATATATTCATATATACAGGCGCTCTTAACTTTATCTTTGGAATATAATTAATAAATCCCCAATACTTAAGAACTACAGCTTGCGTTACAGATAAACTTATGTACAATCGGCGCAGAACAATACTACACAGATGCGAACCAATGAAGACCTCATCGGTAGCCCGTTCTTGGGATACGTCCAGTTTCTACTTTGACAAGTTTCAGGCCGCTCCTGTGCCAGGTAACTTCACTAGGGGCTTACCATAGCCCGTGCTACTTGGAACTTTCGTACGAACCTAACTTATCGGAGCCGATGTTCACAATGCTAGAGAATGTGTATAAATCGAGTCGCTGAAATTAAACTAAAGAATTAAATTTGGACGCAGCTGTCAACAGCTTCTGTATACAGATGTATTAAGAACGGAGTTATGACTCTTTCAAGAAGCTGGGGAACCTCTGTTGTATCTGTATAGTAACATTTGCCCCCGACAGCGCTGAGGCATGACTAGTTAGCTAAGGCAAGGTGACGTGGCAGTAAGCAATTGGGCACGGTAAATGTCGAGAGAGAAGAGAGAGAGATACACAAAAAAGAAAGTGAGAGAGATAATCACAAGAAAGATAGAGATACAAGACATTCCTAAACTCACAAAGACGATGCATGTAAATCAGCATTATTTAGCTGAGGCTAAGAATGAGCTTGATATAGTCTATGTTTAGTCTAACAAGTTTTATAGTCTATGAACTTGTTAATTAGCACCTAAATCCTCGAGTGATATATAGATATATATATATATATATATATGTATATATATTTGTTTTTTAATACATCAACATTTTTTGAGTTACGTGCTGAATCTAGGTTAGAATCGCTCTACTCTTATCTAACTTGATACAGTACATATTATTTATACATGACGACCTCTGCTTCACTAGCTGCTTTCTCTCTCGATACATCAATAAGTGGGAATCACTGTGTCATTTGAGCTTTCACTGTACTATGTGAGCATTCACTGTACCGTGAGAGCATTCACTGTGCATTGCTATCCTATTCCTTTACATGCTTTTAATTAACAGGTTCAATTTCCTTTTTTTATAATTTATTTTGCTCAGTATAAAATATGTGGTTACGTTGAAAAGAATACGGGGCTGTGGAAGCAGCGATATAACTCACTGATGAGCAGCCAGGAGGCAGACTAAGTGATAAAGATAAGAGGAAGGTCCAGAGTTCACAAGCCATTTAAATATCCACTTATTTAACGAGCTTTAAAGTACAAGATCCTCTGTAACAATAATAACCTCGTATCACACCAGAGTTCGCAAACTGTTTAGTAAATATATGGAGGAAGTTATTGTGACTAAGTTTTGAGGTAAAGACCTTGCAAATGTGCTGTGACCCAATGGAATATAAATACATTTAGCACCTTCAGAGTACTTGGTCAGCAAAAGGAAAGTTTTATGAATTAATTATTTATGTAGGGATTTATGAGACAATTATAGGATGAATCTGCATTTTAAATTCTCAAAGGTTCAGAATTGTATGAGAAATGTTCAGACACAAGAGGCCCAGCCCACGACCGCAAGTTTTTTTTATAACAAACTTAGCCACAACAGTGTCATGATAGATGCCAGAAAGGATATCACATACGTTGTCAAACGAGGAATATTGACTGAATTACCAGCATGAAGCAGTTCTGACCTGGACCTCGACAAGCGGCGAGTCAAAGATATAACTCCCCGTGGTGATGTCCATCTAACTATCTCCCACTAGGTCGACAAAATCATCTCTAACCGGAGGTGATGATCCGTGAGTAAGACATCCTCAGCAGCATGTGTGAATGCTGTTATGTAGTGACTTATATCGAACACGTAATTTGAGAGAGCCAAGTGGGTCTCCAGAGACTAGGATTGATCTGGGACACAGCTGGAGACCGGTAAGTGTTTAGAGCAGTGTTGAAGAATGTGAACATAATATATGAACACTAAGACTTGTCATCATTCTAGTAATCTGTGTTCCTATGCTAAGACAATGGCATTAAAGAGAGAATGAGGTGCATCAATACTGCGGATAAATTGCAAGTCATAATATATATATGAAACACGGAAATACAGGTGTATATATATATATAGGTGCAGGTAAATGACTTATATTAACACATTTACATCACATACACACACACATGTAGGTGCTTCGTGGATTATGGTTCTACAGGTAGGCCACGATGGATGATGGGAGAACAGTTGTAAATTAAATGTTTCAGTTTTTCACCATGTCTCATTTACACCGCAATATCACCGTTGTAAAACTTGATTGAAGCGTCCTCCATACGGTCACAAAATGTCAAAATTCATTTATATCAAGTTCTATTTTCATCCAACGTTAATGAAACTTGTCTCACGAGCGCTTTTTTAAACACAAGTCCTTTTCTCGTAGGTCTTAGAGACAGAGCGACGTGTTTGTAGAAGACTTTTCAACGTTCTCAAACAGTACACTTCATAGAACTTCCCATAGACCAACTTTAAACTACTAAAGTACACCTTTTCAGTGGAGTTTTCAATGTTCTTTACTCAGTCCTCTCCCGAAAAACAACCTTAATAATTAGTAACAACTCTGTAAGGTGACTAGTTAAAGTTCAATATTTATATAAGAGTGGTCAGTCCCCTGTGAGGCGTTTCTGAATTCGTCTTTAGTAACCTGGACTTACAATATGTGTGAACTTTTTATTACCAAGTCTGAAATAAATCACAATCAATACAAAACGTAATGCACCATTTACGTACTACTGTATGTAATGTGAGTCGCTGCAGGTGGCGGCGCAGAAGACAGAGTACACAAAGCATGTTTTTATTTTCAATGTTTCTGCTACTCTTGCAACATACCGGTTCACATCCCATTTAGCTAAAGTTGGAGCAGAGTTCAAGGTGCCCACGCTGTTCAGTAAGTTGGGAGTAAATTTAATAGAAACCTGGATCATAAACCAATTCCAATTAAAGAAACTCGAGGATTATAAGCTTCCAGGAGATTCTCGAGCGCTCGCTCCATTCCCCTTCACTAACAGGCAAATTCCTCTTCGTCGTGACGGTGAGGGCGCGCCTTATAGTGTGTATAGTAGTCTGGTGGCACGCCATTTGGCCTCTTGGTGGGCTCCTCGTCGCGGTCCTCCCCAGAACGACACCGGCGGTACCAGATGAGAGCCACGACGACCCCCAGCAACAGTGCCGCCGCCACCGTCGCCCCCAGGATGAGACCAACACGTCCCCCAGAGGTCCCGGTAGCTGGAGATGCAGGTAAAGGGAGCGTCTGGCCGCGACTACACCGGGCGCCTTCTTCCTGCTAGGAAACGAGTCAGTGGGTGAGAGGCTTGTAAAATGCAAAAGTTTCCTAAAATTTCCTAAAATAGACGAATGCTGCTATTAGTATATATGATATTTATGTAACGAATGTGTGTCTGCTAGAAAAATAAGTAAATAAATATATGAACACATACAAAATCCTTATCAAAGAAACACGATTTTCTGTGTGTGTTTGTGTGTGTGTGTACAACATCTCACGGAGGCTTCAACAACTCACCTGCTGTTTACTGTAGTAGGCGTCGACGGTGTGCGCTCTGGCGGGTCCAAGGGACTTGGTAAGGCCGTGGACACACACTTGGTACTCCGTGCTGGGCTGGAGGTCCTGTAGGAGGAAAGTCCTGGAGGCCAGCCCTAGTGTAGGAGACGAGGTCACTGGACCTCTTGGTGTCCCTGGCGGTATTTCATCTTCTGTCATGGCTGCTGCGGCTGCTGCCAGTGTTTCTGCTCCGGCATGCTCTTCGTCTGCGTCAATAATCTGGTAGGTCACCTGGAGAGCGATGGGGGTGAGATAGAGCTTAACTAAATGCATGTTTAAATAATTTGATCTCTTTACTGTGAGAACTAATACACTCGTAACCTTTAATTCCTCTCATCTGTAAACAATGATCGAACCTTAAAAACTGTGAAGCTAATTGATGCATAGCCCAAGTAGCTGATCCTAATGCCCTACCTACTGACCCTGAATGCCCCACATATTGATCTTAAGGGCCTAAGACACTGACCTTGAAGCCATATACAGAGGAGGAGTTGGAAGCCTGCCACGACACCAGCAGCGACTGACTCTGGATGTCTTGAATCGCCAGACGAAGGATCACCGGCTGAGGGCAGAACGACGACGACGACATCAGCAGGAAGGACTGGCCCCGTAGTGTCTGGTGAAGGGAAGATAAACAAATTGATATGCTGATAGCATTCTTGGAGAGTGTACGTTTACTGTTGGTTAACACTTGGTATTTAAGCTTGCTTTGTGTATGGAGAGAGAGAGAGAGAGAGAGAGAGAGAGAGAGAGAGAGAGAGAGAGAGAGAGAGAGAGAGAGAGAGAGAGAGAGAGAGAGAGAGAGAAAGAGAGATTAAATTAACAGAAAGTGCATTAAAACACCTACAAAAGTTGGTTCAAAACGCACAAGATCCAAAAAAGCTAACAGCACCTTGGTGAGATGCGAACTCAGTGACAGAACGGGTCACTGTTCAAGAAAAATTATAACGTAATCACTTGTGAGTTGCGTGTAAAGTATTTTTCAGTCGTAAACAGAGACTTTGACAGTTACATTAACGAGCATCTTACCAGTGTTTATGAGGACGGGTCGGAATACTAAATGAAGCTTCAGCTAAGGTCATACCTCGGGAAGGTCGCAGATGATGTCGTTTGGGTGGTAAACTTGACCCGGATGGTTCAATAGCCAGGTCCAGAGGTCCAGCGTCTCACAACTGCAGCTTACAGGGTTTCCTAAGGAGAGATTGAAGCATAGTTCATTATGAAAATCTTTGGAATAGAAAATTAATTATAGTATATTGCATGACAGTTGTACTATAAAGTAGCCACCTGGAACCAATTGCCGTTGAGAGAAGGAGGACTCATCTCAAAAAACTAAAATAATGAAATTATTACAGAAAGTTCACTCCCACTGAGGTAGATTGCCCCTCATTTCATTGAAATACAATGACTCACCATTGATTTAATTAACTTTATGGTAGACTTACCATTAAGGTAGAGAGACTCCAGCGTTCTCTCCACGGGCTCCAGGATAACTGGCCTAAGCATCTCGAGGTTGTTGTGGCTGAGGTCGAGGAATGAGAGTCGAGGAAGGTAATGAAGAGCTCGTGGATGGATAACTGTAACCCAGTTATCGCTCAGCACCAGTTGTTCTAGACCTTCCGTGTGCCGCAAAGTGGCCTCTTCCACCTCCGTCAGCATGTTTCCAGACACGTCCAGCACCTGGAGTGATGGACAGTGGCGGTGCAGTGGTGTGAGAGTGGTGGTTGTGGTGGTGGTGTGAGAGTGGTGATGGAGGTGAGACAGTGGTGGTGTTGTGGTATGACAGCGGTGATATAATGGGTTGACAATCTTACATTTGAATTTGCGTAAGTGTACAGTAATTAAAGATAGTGTACATTTGTACTACTGTGAATGAATAACTAATACATATTGGAAATTGAGAAGTCTAACTTCATTCTAAGACGGTTTTTAAAATATGTTATGATGCAATACCATCGAGAGACTGGAATTACATACCTTCAAATTCTTGGAGTCAGTAGGCAGCTGATCGAGCTTCTTGAGTCGGTTTCTCGTGAGGTTAAGGTGAGTTAGCTCCAGCATCCCTCGTAACCTTTCCCGGGGCAGAATCTCCATCAGGTTGAACCCCAAATTGAGTTTCGTCAGCTGAGAGAGGCTCTTAAAGGCTCCAGGAGACACCTTGCTTATGGCACCATGTTGAAGGTTGAGAGACCTGAGAGCCGGCATGTGTGAGAGTTCGAAGCTGGTCAATACAGTGAGGTTGGTGTGCGTCGCTTCCAGATGTTCTAGGTTGAGTAAGTTCACGCCCTGGGCCACGGCGGGACCCATTAGACGGTGGAGAGGATTTCCGGAGACGTTGAGGCTCTTTAGGCTTGTCATACCGTCAAAAAACATCGAATCAGGTAACTGTAGAAGGTGATTTTCGGCGAGGTTGAGACGTCGAAGCGACGAACTGAGAAAACTGCCAATAGGGATCTCGACAACCATGTTGTCAGATATGTCTAGAGCCTCAAGGTGTTGCAGCTGTGTCATCGTTGAGGGCTGAACCTCACTCATCAAGATATTTGAAGCATATAGCTCCCGAAGGTTCATAAGTTGTCCTAAGTCAGGGCAAAGATCTCTTAAAGGATTGCCACTTATGGTGAGCTCCTCTAGCTTAGCTGTGACCCAGAGTGACCTACAACTGTTTAGTCCTAAGCTGTTTCCTCCCAAGTCAAGTTTTGTGAGATCATTTAGCCCCACGAAGGACGTGGGTTTGAGGTATGTGAGTCGGTTTTTACCGATGTTTAAGGTTCTTAGTGACATACTGGCATCAAAGAACTTCTCCGGAATATTTTCAATGTCACATGCACTCAGATCTAGAGTCTCGAGGTTTGGAAGAGCAGCAAGACTGTTGACATCCAGTACTTGGAAGCTATTACCACTCAGATCCAGATTCCTAAGCTGGGTGAGTTTGAGGAAGCCTTCGTGAAGCTTGTGAAGATCGTTATTCCTCAAGCTTAGGGTATCCAGGTACACAAGAGCCTCAAAAGATCCTTCCTCTATGTCTCTGATTCGTGCATTGTCGATGATGAGGCGTCGTATTGGGAGCTCCGTTTCAAAATGTTCCTTTTTTATTACTAATAATTCATTTCCTGATAGGTCAAGCAAATCTAAACTCGCCAAACTTTGGAATGCATTCGGGAGTATTTCTCTTATTTTGTTATTGTCTAGATAGAGATCACTTAACGACGTCAAGCCATTAAATATCCTCTCATTTACAGACTCCAAGAAGTTACGTGAGAGAAAGAGTTTTCGCAGATCTGTCATATTGATGAACACATTGTCTTCAATACTTGCTATCTTATTTTGCTCTAAATGAAGTTGCCTAAGTAAAGTAAGGTCGCTGAAAGCTCCCTTTACTAACACTGTAATATTATTACGATCCAGCCAGAGGAAGTCGAGCTGCCTCTGGCCACTGAGAGCTTCCTGGTGAAGACTGTTGAGGTTGTTGCCAGACACACGTAGATATCTGAGAGAGCTGACGTCGTGGCTGAAGGTGTCAGGAAGGGCCAAGACCTCATTGTCTTGGAGACTCAGGTGTTCAAGTTTCCGCAGACTGGAAAAGGCTCCAGTGGCTACAACCTCAATCTTGTTGTCGTGAAGGTGCAGCTCCCGGAGCTCCACCAAGCGGGAGAATAAACCTCTTTTAACCATTGTTATTCTGTTTTTCTGCAGGAAGAGCTTTGTGAGCTGGGTTGTATTTTTGAAGGTTATTTCACTCAGGTCGTTTATCCGGTTGTGGTCTAGTTTCAGAGTGAGAAGATTAACATTGGCCATTAAAAGCCGTGGGTAAATTTCTTGGATGTTGTTGTGGTTAAGGAGCAAGGTCTCTAGATGTATCATTTCCACAAACGTTTCTAACTCCACGAAGCGAATGGCATTATGCTCTAAGTTGAGAATTCTAATGTTTGAAGAATTTTTGAATGTTTGTTGTGTTACTTCCCGAATGTTGTTCCTAGAAAGCACCAGTTCATGGAGCTCTGGCAGGTTGCAAAAGAGGCCTTCATTTATAGTATGAATGTTGTTGCTACCGAGGTCGATAATTCGCATCTTTGGGGTGTAACTGAAAGTCTCTGGATCCAGCTCCCTGATGTTGTTGTGACCCAAAAACAGCGTTTCCAAAGCAGAGTTTTCTTTGAAGGCATTTTTAGCCACACTGGAAATGGAATTCATGTAGAGAGACAGGGAGACTAGTCCAGGCACTCCAGCTAGGCTCTTGCTCTTGACCTTCCGGATTTCATTACTACTGAGATCAAAGTACTCAAGAGCTGAGAGAGGAAAGACTGGGTCAGTATCAAGTTCAGAGATGTGATTCCATGCGACCTCCAGTCTCTTCAGCGCCTTCATTTTCTGCATTGGGCGTACTGGCAATTCCTTTAGATTATTGCTAATGATATTAAGTTCTTGCAATGAATCTTCCAGACCATCGAATGCAAAATCAGATATCAAGCTGATCATATTTCCCTTCAGGCTTAACTTTTGTATCTTTACTTTTGCAAATCCAAAGCTTGGTAGCTCTGTGATGTTGTTAGATTCGAGATTTAGTTCTTGGAGTTTAGAAAGCTTGTAGAGTGCTTCCTGAGGAATCGCAGATAACTTGCAGTGCTGGATGGTCAGGCTTACCAGCGCTTCTTGTAGTCCACTTAAACTTCCGTCAGCCAAGCTCCTAAGGCTCGAATGAGAAATCTGAAGGTTGATCACTCCAGCACTCTTCTCAAAAACCCCTGTAGGGAGCGAGGTTACGTTAGTGTCCAGGTCATATATATTGAGGGATTTTATCGGCTGCTGCAGTAGGCCCAGGACACCCGATAGTGTCTCCAGGGACACCATTGGGCACTCCATAGAGATACCATCTTCGTTGTTGTAGCAGGGACACCACGGGTTGTCCTCCCAACTAGGACACATTGAGGTTTCTATGATATCCTGAGCAATGGTGACCTGAGGCCACCATACCTGTGCCCAAACCACCCCCACCATCAACTTCGCCACCATCGGCACCATACCTCTATGTTTCATCATCATTTCACTAACATAGCCTGAAAGCAAACCAAAAACAAATTACTTATTGAAACATAAATACCACATAACTGCTAAAACGTACATAAAGGCATTTATGTTGCACTTACCACATCTCGTTTTCGTCTGCATGAAATGTGTTTTACAGGATGAGTAACGCTACTCAGTAAACTCCTTTGCCTTCTGCAGGGCCAAACTAAAAAAAAATCAATGCATCCTCAAGTTATGCGTGTATTTAACGTCTTTATTTTCTCAAAATATATATATATTACATTATATTAGAATTGGGTGTATAGATAGGAATACACTAGTTTAAGTGTAAGCAAGTACATGCATTTTCAGTATATGTGTGAAGTATTAAAAAAGGTGCAATTTGAACATAGAAAGTGAGCAAAGCACTGTTTAGAAAAAGTTGAAACGTCAGCAGTTGAGAGTCGCAGTCCGTCCTGATAAACATTTGTCAAATCCAGCCACTAACCCCTCACCCGAAGTTTATGAGCGAAAAATACTTTACACTCGATCGAGAATTGATTAAGATACAATGTTTTCTTTGCCATTGCATCACTCCCTTCCAGTGTTCGAATTGCATATTTCTAAATACTTCACACACGTATTGCAAATGCAAAACATTGTCAAAAGAACAAAAACACTTAACCTAGACGTAACTATACACACAATTATAATATACATTTAATAATATATATTCGAGAACAAAATGTTTGGTCACACAGAATGTTAATATTGAAAAACATGTCATGGGGTTCGGCTGCAGTTTGGACGAGAATAAAAATGAGTGCTGTGTCAGTCATATGATTTTTTTTCCCCATCATAAGCAAGGAAACGGAGCATTAGGCCAATGTTTATGAGGACGAGCTGTGTGAGAATATACTGCCTCGATACACCAGTCATCTCCCATGATTGCGTGAAAGAAACGACAAGAACTAGCAACGTCCTACAGTTTTTTTTTTCCACAGACCATCACCATAAATATTATTGAAATCCTCGTTAATTCAGCCGCCATCCCTTCCTTGTTTATGAATGAAAAACGCTTTTGGCGTGATTCACAAGTGATTACATTCGCGTCTCGCTCACTTCCGAGTCTCAAACCGCTTCTCTCAAGAACTATTAATAAAAATAATTTCTAGCAGAATCCAAACACCTATGATAGCCCACCTATGACGAAACAATAAATAAAATTAATATATATACAATTAATTCACATTTCAGAATGTATGTGTTTTGGTTACTAGTTACGAAAGAAATCAGCATGAGTCTGCAGGCGAGGAGTCACAATAACGCGGCTAAAATATGTTGACCAAACCACACTAGAAAGTGAAGGGACGACGACGTTTCGGTCCGTCCTGGACCATTCTCAAGTTGATTCAGCATGAGTTTCTTGGGGCCAGCCGCATCATGAACAAGCATAGGCTGAGGATGCAGTTGTAGCACAGGATTGAGGTATTTAGAGAGGTACGATTCGAACAATTGTCGTCAGCAGTGTTCGAACATCATCAATTGTGAGTCGTGTGTAAAGCTTTTTCATTCATTGACCTGGGCTTGGCTGCTGGTTTAACGAATATTTGGCCTTTGCTGATAAAGTCAGCAGCTCGTCCTCATCAATATAGACTATATGCTCGGTAATCCAGCCGCTAAACTCCCTGTTTATTAATGAAAATTCTTTACACCCAACTCGCAAATGGTGACGTATGTTCTTTTCTCGAACACTGCTTCGTTCACGACCTCTGCTTGAATCGAAACCCAATAAATGCTTTACCATATACTACAAACACAAATAATCGCTAATAGAACTTAAACACCTAACTTAACCAAAGCCCAACTATACACAGACTTTTAATGTATAATATTATTAATCTATGTATGAGAACAAACCTATTTTTCTTACACAGTACTTTAAAATTTATGAATGCGTCTTAGGGGACGGCCGCCTCTCTAACGAGCCTGGCTTGAGGACAGGTTGGGATTGAGGATTGGTTGTTTCTCATTAAGTGGTTCAATCATTTCGTAAACATAAATCAATGCCCCAAGGGGCACACTAATCAAGGACAACGTGAATTTAACGCCCTCCTTGGGTCTTGTACCAATTGGAGAATCGAAGTTAGTTTCACTTGTTAAAATGCTTCAGCATGTACTATAAATACATTTAATTTATTACGTATCAAACTAAATTAACATAATCTAACATACAACAATAATAAACACTAATATTCCCGTTGAGTTAAGACAGTTTTTTTGTATATGATACATATTAAATATATCTAACCACAACACCATACTCCCTATCTCTCACTCTCTCTCTCTCTCTCTCTCTCTCTCCCTCCACCCACTATTACACCCTACCACAACACCTGATACTAGTACAAGCTGAACGAGGTTCAGTAAGCTAGTTTTTCCTCGGCCTTGTAGCTCGCGTCGCGGCCGCCAGCTGGTGCTGTTGATCCATGAGGAAGGAAGCCACCTGGGGCCAAGTAGCTTCTTCAGACTGGGACGGAAATGGGAGAGAGAGAGAGAGAGAGAGAGAGAGAGAGAGAGAGAGAGAGAGAGAGAGAGAGAGAGAGAGAGAGAGAGAACAATAACTTCAATGCATAGAAAGCGAACGCATTAAATTAAGTACAATAATGATGTCTATTTTCTGAGCTCATAAACTATTGGCAAAATAATAAAATATTCTTACAGTCGCTCTCTACTGCTCTCGCTTCTCATCCTCTTAAGAGACCCGGAAGAGTGGAATAGGGAAGAGGGGAATAGAGTAACGAGAAGAAATAAAAACGTGAAAAAGAGGAAGTGGGAGAAATTAGAATGTAAGCTCCCAGGTCTGAGAGGGGGAAGATCCCGGGCCTGAGAGAGGGAAGATCCCAGGTCTGAGAGGGAGAAGATCCCAGGTCTGAGAGGGGGAAAAAGAGCAGGGGTGGTTGTGGTCCGCATGGGGTGATGTATTTTGGTCGTCTTCCTACTCCCAACTCACCTACCAACAACCATTGCCTACCCACCAACCAGTCCCCCCCCCCCACCACCCACCTACCAGCAACCACTCCCGACCCCACCTACCAGCTACCCGTCTCCACCCATCTACCATTCATCACCCACCTACTGACAAGCACTCTCCTCTCACCCACCTACTACTCCACCCCCCCCCCGTATTAACTACCACCCTTCACCCACTTACCATCAACATGGTTACATCAATTCTATACGTCTCTACCACCATGGTGACATCAACTGAGATAAACGATGAATAAAGCAATCAACACAATAACAGACCCTGAATGGTTAAAAAATCAACGAAACAAGCAAACAGCCATTGAGTTCAACGAGCTCTGAAACACGAAATAAACAAAATGAAACAAGCCGCTGCTAAACGGGCACAGAAAACACCCCAAACAAAGGGGAACCCGAACTCCATGACATTGTTTTTGTTTAAGCAAGAATAAACAACCAAGAACTACCGGAGAATGTCTATTCCTGAGTATTGTTTATCCTCGTTGTGTTGCGCTTGTCGCCGGCTTGGCCACAGTTCGAGACCCGCATAACGGAGCACGTTCCTACTAAGCCCTTTGTCATGGACGGGGTATTGTTTCTCACTTCAAGGTTCCACCATAGGGGAAAAAAAACTGTCGTTAGACCGGCGTACGCCCTTCGGTATCGTATATTAACCAAGGCATTGTTTCCTGGTTGTTGGTTGGGCGCGTGGACCCCCTTACACACATTCATTCAACCACAGATAGTTGATAATAATCTACACTTAATACCCTTCACCCATTCTGCGGCCGGGAAGTGGAAGGGGGAGAAGGGGAGGGGAGGGGAGGGGGAGGTGAAACACGTGTCTAGGGAGCTTGAGAACCATCTTGTGTTGTTTGGGTGTGATTGTTTGGACGCGCTGGAGAGTGTAAGCGCCAACAAACAACACACAACAGCAGTGCTTTGTCTGGCTTTGGTTCACAAGGTGGCGCGACCTGGCAGTTGCCAAGACTAACCTTCACGCCTCACTCATTATCCCCTCGCTTACCCATCTTTCCTCTCTACCTGTCTCCCTACCTCACACACTTCTTCACTCTCTTCCTATCTTCCTATCTCACATATCTTCCCTCCCTATCTCCCAGTCTCACTCATCTTCCCTCACTTTCTACGTCCTACGCTGCTCATCAATCTTACCTCCCTATTCCCTTGCCTCACTCATCTTACCCATGCTCCCTATGTCTCTACATCCTACATGCCACACACTCCTTCCCTCTACTACTTACTCACGTATGTGAGTCGGGCTGGATCAGCCGGGCTGTGGTGGGTATGTGGCCCTGCGGGCCGCTCCAAGCAACAGCCTGGTGGACCAAACTCTCACAAGTCGAGCCTGGCCTCGGGCCGGGCTTGGGGAGTAGAAGAACTCCCAGAACCCCATCAACCAGGTATCAACCAGGTATGTACTCCCCCTTCCCATACCCTGCCTGCAGTCACCTACTCCACTCTTCTCAACTTCTGCCTTTTAATCCAATTCCCACATCACACACACACTCAGGTTCCCAATTTTTCAACCTGTCTTCCAAACCTCCCTACCATCTCTCCAAGCTGCTCCTCTCAGGCACTTGTTGGTCCCTCCAGCTTTTTCTCTCCTCCCCCCTCTCCCCAATCCCTACTTCACCCCTCACCATACTTTCCCTCACCATGGGAATTGTGGTGAGGGCTGACGTTACTCCTCACCACATGGCTATCGTCTCATTTCCTCTCGGAAAAGATTTTTAAACTATTCGTAAAATTCCGCAGGAGTCTTGAAATGACCGACAACAGAATCTCCACCGATAAACGTGTCAAGGTAGATTAGAGTGAGAGTGAGAGAGAGAGAGAGAGAGAGAGAGAGAGAGAGAGAGAGAGAGAGAGAGAGAGAGAGAGAGAGAGAGAGAGAGAGAGAGAGAAGGGGGAGGGGCAGAGACCCAGACATCGCTAGAGAACCCCCTTCTAGTTATATATGAGAGAAAATAAGGAGGATTCGGCAGTCTTAACATTATAGCCC